GTAGTTTTTCAGCAACGTAAATTTTTGCCAATCATAGGGATTTTCGTATAAACATGACCGCTTTTCATAGGTTGATCGCGAATGAGTTCGTCCTGGTCGCGTACACCGGTGTGAACCGGGCGGCCCCCCCAACCCCCCCAGTTGGCATTGTTTACCCAAGTGAAGGTCCCCTCAAATGTCCTACGAAATATTTCATAATATTCCACTATTTTTGGCTTGCAAGTACAAATAAGCTTCCATGGGTCCCCAAAAAAAGCTCTAGGCCCAAACCTGTGGTAAAGAAAGGGGAGAAATATTACGGCAAAATCTTGGGCCTTTTAGGGGAAATGTTAAAGAGATGCCCGAACGAGCTTCCCCCACAGTTACTTTGCGAGACAGGACTAGGGACTCTCAAAGGGGGTCCAGTGGCATTAAGAAACGAGAAAAGAAGCAACCCCCGAGAAACAATTGGTACCTGAAGGTGTTTCTGGAAGGGGGTTCCCCTTCCCAAATGTAAAAATCCCCTCTCTCTTCCTCCAGTCTTCCCAAAAAAGAAAATTTTCCAATAAAGGTAAGTGTTATGCTGTTAATGTTTCATTCATCATTTCCCATTGTATTGTTTATGTACTACATGTATATTTCATGTAAAAAAATTTTTTGTTTTAATACTTCTGGGTGTCAGGAACGGATTAATTGTATTTACGTTATTTCTTATAGGGAAAATTGATTCACAATTCGTAAATTTCGTTTATAGTAGCTCCTCCAGGAACGGATTAATTACGAAAAACGAGGGACCACTGTACCATGAAGTTATTGGGTATCTCTGGTGATGTGGTTCGAACAATGATGGAACCATATCTTGGTAAGGGGCATATGTTATTTACTGATAACTGGTACACAAGCCCCTTACTCAGTGATTTCTTGTGAGTGAACTTGACAGACGTGTGTGGCACAGTGCGTGGTAATCGTAAACATATGCCAAGGTTCGACGCTGGCACTCGCAGAGGTGAGGTGCAAGCCTTTGCTGCCAATGACATCATGGCATTTCAGTGGCATGACAAACGTGATGTCACATTGTTGACATCAGTTCACCGAAATGAAATGGCACACAGTGGCAGGCACAACAGAGAGACCAATGAACCCATTCTAAAGCCTGCAGCTGTCATGGACTACAACCTCAATATGCGCTTAGTGGACAAATGTGACATGCAGATTGGGTTTGCAGACTGTGTACGCAAGAGTTATAAGTGGTATATAAAACTTTTTTCCATCTTGTTGATATCTCTATGCTAAATGCTTATAACATATACAAGTTGAAGACCAACAAAATACCAAAATATGGTGAATTTTGTTTGTCAGTAATCAGACAAATAATCGCAAAGTACCAAGGAGCAACACCTGCAATAGACCAGCGCCCACGAAATTACCCACACACGCCATCTCGTTTCAGGCCTGGTGATCACTACCCCATACAACTGCCTCCTACTACTGCCAAGAAAAATGCTCCTAAGAGGTGTTATGTATGTACACATACCACAAAACGCCCACAAACACGCAGAGACGCTCGTTTTATGTGTGAGGAGTGTCAAGTGCCCCTCTGCATATACCCATGTTTCAAAGAGTTCCACAAGCTGCAGCGGTTCTAGGAACGTGTCAGTGACTGTACATATGTATATATATTATGGAACAATAGTAATAAACATTGTTTTGTATTGTTTGTGTAAACAAAGTGTATACACAAACTAATAGTGATAAAGTTTGTTCAGTTATTGTGTTGTAAACAATGAGTGTATATTTGAACAATGCACCTTACATTGGTCTCACAGGACACATAAGTTACTTGGAAAAGAAAAATATTGAAAAATGCAAGAAACCTTTGAATTAGAATAAATAAAAGAATACCGGGTGGGCGGCAGTCGCCGCTGTTGCCGTACGCACATCACTTTCTGCAAACTTTGCAGCTCTATATCTCGGTAAGTACTGATGGCAAAAAAAATTTTTTTGGGTTAAAACACTCAGAAAAAATATTCCAAACTTTTTTAAAAAGAAAAAAATTTTTTTTTTTTCAAATTTTGGCGACTAAAATGAGTTTCAGAAAGGGGGGTGAAAAAAGTCAAAGGGGTTTAAAAAGGGACCACGAATAACAAGGAAATACAGTGGATCCCCCCCTAGGACTTTAATCCCTGCAAAAGGGCTGATTGTTTATGCGAAAAAGTCGGTTGCGAATGAATTTTCCCCATAAGAAAAAATGGAAATCAAATTTTCCCTGCAAGACACCCAAAAGTATGAAAAAAAAAAAATTTTCCACATGGGGAAAAAACTTTTTTCCCACACACAAAGAGAAGGATACTTTCACAAAAGTAGAGTAGTACATGACGTATATATTGCGATGTACTACTCTACTAAATGAGAATAAATGACATTACCTTTATTGAAATGCGCAATGACTGATGAGACACTGGCGGGGTGCCTTTTTCCCCCTAGTATGTAGGTCCTGTTTGGCATTTTTTTCCCGAAACAGGCCCCTTTCACCTGGTATGCATCGATTTTTAAATTTCAAACCAACCCTTTTCTGGCTTTAAATTCACCCTTTTGAGCACTGTTCCCGGGAATTTTTTTCCCCGTTCACCTGGGTGTTAGTGATGGTTGGGTTGCATTGGGGAAAGATTAAAGGCCCCAAAAGGAAATAAGTTAGACAGTCTTCGGAAATGACTTTTTTGGGGGTTTCCTGGGTGGGGGAAATCCCCTGGGGGTTAATTGTTTTTTGGTATTCTCAATAAGCCACCCCAACAACGGTGCTACGCAGCGCAGCAGCAGTGCAGTGCTAGCAGCAGCAGACGATGCTACAGCGCAGCAGAGATGCTACAGCAGCGAGCGGTACTACGCAGCAGCGCGCTGACGTGGTACAACGCAGCAGAAAGCTGAAGTGCTCACCAGCAGAAAGACGATGCTAAAAGCGCAGCAGATGGTCTACGCAGCAGCAGCAGCTGAGGGTGGTACAGCAGCAGGCAGCTGCGGTCTACAGCACGCAGAGCTGACGTGCACCCCGGCAGCAGCTGTACCACCAATAGTAGCTGGTTTTTGGGGTTTTTTTTTCAACCTGGCCGCTGGAGACCCACTCCATTTCAAAATTATCAATGATCTTTTTTTCATCTCTATGTAATTCTCACCCCTTTTTGTGTAGGGTTGGGACTAGAAAACTTTTTTGGGGCCCATGGTCACTTATTTTCAGATAAAATCACCCAAAAACATTAATAATACGAAATGTTCCGATTGTTGCTTGGTGTTTTCCCCGGGGGGTGGCTGGGGAAACAATGCCACCGGCGGCACATGTGAGGCTGGCTAAGGGCGCACATTGGACGCGTCTCGGACGAAGAGCGGTGAGCAGGTTTTTTGGGCGGTATGCGAGGCAAAATTTTTGCAATAAAAGCGAGCGGTATGCGGATTGAACGGTATGCGATGTGTACGGTATGCGGGGGTCCACTGTACCAAAAAGTTTCACGGAGCTTGTACAAACGATGCTTAACGAATGAAAGCTGACAAGAGACTGAGTGTGTGATGCTTTGTTTTTGTTAGATTTCAGCCAGATAGACTGTTTTGTTTGGTTCTAATATCAGGACAATCTTGGAATACCTAGTCAAATTTTTCTCAAAAAAATGGGCGAATATTGAACTGTACGAATATAGGGACATACGAATATTGAGGTTCCACTGTAATTGAAATACGTTAATGGTTGGTTTCTTGTGCTCAGTCAAAAAAAGGGAAGACATATTAGCGAAATAGCTAAGAACTTGGTTGGATGGATCAGTGGAATTGACTTCAGTATGGACTCGATATGGGCAAAATTGCCAACTTAGTTAATTGTACCCAGACCACTAACCTTGCATCTTCGTAATTCTGTAAGCGTTTCATCATGTGTCATATTTTGGTGCCATTATCTTCAGAAAAAGATTCTCTATCATTTTTTATTTTTGAGGGGTGGGGGGAAGTGGACACTGGGATCTATATAAATATTTGGGTCTGGACAGTGAAAGAGTTAAGGAATGTATTTGGCTCCATTTGTTTGGTACAATGATGTTATCCTTTGGATAACAGGCCTGCACTTCTCTTTTGCCTGAAAGGTCAGTGTATGTGACAAGAATATAAATCTCATCTCGTACAACTGACATTTCAGGTAACCTCTCAGTCTCTCTTTCTGCAATTTCTGCATCATTCACTGTCTGGTAACCAGGATTCTTATCATTTTCTTTTATGCTATCATAACTTTCTACATAATGCTTGTTTCTTTTGCCCTCTGAAGGGTATGATGAAAATAATTGGCCCAGACCCGTCAAAGTCCAAGTTGATATCATGGTTACATTAAAAAAATTCCAAACATTAGCTAATGTTTTCTGAGGTGTCTGAGGGCAGTGTGTGGTGTGAATATAATTCGAGAATCCGTAGTTTGGAATTTAGAAGGAGGTGCAGGCTTACCAATAGTATTATACAAAGGGCTGAGGAGGGGTTGTTGAGGTGGTTCAAATATTTAGAGAGGATGGAATGAAATAGAATGACTCGGAGAGCATATAAATCTGTAGTAGAAGGAAGGCTCAGCAGAGGTCATCCTAGGAAAAGTTGGAGGGAGGGGGTAAGGAAGTTTTGTGTGTAAGGGCTTGAACTTCCAGCAAGCATGCATGAGCATGTTAGATAGGAGTGAGTGGAGACAAATGGTTTTTATGACTTGATGTGCTGTTAGAATTTGAGCAGGGTTACATTTATGAAGGGATTCAGGAAAACTGGCAGGTCGGACTTCAGTCTTAGAGGTGAGAAGTACAGTGCTTGCACTCTGAAGGAGAGGTGTTGATATTGAAGTTTTTTAACTGTAGCATAGGCATGCCTCTGGCAAGACAGTGATGGAGTGAATGATGAAATTGTTTCTTCTTTTTTGGGTCACCCTGCCTTGGTGGAAAATGGCCAATGTGTTAATAAAAAAAATAATAATAATAAAAACAGTTTGATAGCTTAATTTTTCTACTCCACAGCTAGTTTATGGATCATCCTGCCATCCGGATACTTCTGTTCTCAAGTTCTTTAAGAACCTTTTATAGACATATCTTCAGCAGTTGCTGAACTTATCCTGATTTTAGTTTTGAAACTGGCAAAGTAATACTGAGTTGACAGCCTAGTCTCTATTGTAGTGAATTCTCATTGTTAAATCATGTCAGTTTATGGAGAATCCCAAATGATTAGTGGTTTAGGCTCGCCAGGAAACTCAAACTTGGAAACACACGAGAGTGTTGACACTAACAGTAAACCATATCAGTGTTCTGAGTGTCTGAAAAATTTTTAGCCTTAAATACAGTCTTGTATTGCATATGCGATTTCATTCTGATGGTCAGCCATACCAGTGTACCAAGTCTTTAAAATGTTTTAAATATAAGCAAAAGCTTAAAACACACATAAGATTTCTTACTAAAGAAAAATCGTATCAGTGTTCACATTGTCAGAAGTGCTGTAATTCAAAATGGAATCTCATAGCACACATGCGTGTTCACACTGGAGAGAAACCATACAAGTGTTCAGTGTGTGGGAAATGTTTCGGCCATAACCGCTCTCTTGTAACACACATGCGATTTCACACAGGAGATAAGCCTTTTCAGTGCTCTGTGTGTCTAAAAAGGTTCAGACAAAAAGGCTCCCTTGTAGCACATATGAGGATTCACACTGGAGATAAGCCTTTTCAGTGTCCAGAGTGTCTAATGCGTTTTAGTGTAAAATGCACTCTTGTAAAACACATGCGGGCTCACACTGGTGAAAAGCCTTATCAGTGTACAAAGTGTCTGAAATATTTTACCCAAAAAAATGGCCTGTTAACACACATGAGGATCCATACAGGAGACAAGCCATTTCCATGTACAGAGTGTTTGAAATGTTTCAGTGACAAAAGTACTCTTATAAAACACATGCATACTCATTCAGGATATAAACCTTATCAGTGTCCAGAGTGTACACAGTGTTTTACCATAAAGGGCAATCTTGTGGTTCACATGAGAGTTCACACTGGTGATTCTCCATTTAAATGTTCTGAGTGTGTGAAATGTTTTAAACAGAAAAGTGCCCTTGAATCTCATATGCGCATTCATACAGGAAATAAACCATTTAAATGTTCTGAGTGTACTACATGTTTCAGCCATAAACATAGTTTAGTGACACACATGCGTATTCATACTGGTGATAAACCATACAAGTGTTCCGAATGTTTGAAGTCTTTCAGACAAAGAAGTAATCTTAAAACCCACATGAGAGTTCATTCAGGTGAAAAACCTTTTGAATGTTTGCAGTGTCATAAACATTTTACTGTAAAAGGAAGTCTTATAAAACATGAAAGAATTCACACAAGAGTTAAACCATATGAGTGTTCAGATTGTCAGAAATGTTTTAGTGTTAAAAGTAGTCTTGTAAACCACAAGCGAATTCACACAGGAGATAAACCATACCAGTGCCCAGAATGTGGGAAATGTTTTAACCAAAATTGCAATCTGGGAACACACATGCGTAGTCATTCAGTTGTTGAATGTTTAAAGAATGTGAAATATTTAGTGAAAAAGGCAGCATAATAAAGCATGAGTATATTTGATGTATATGAGAGAATCCATGTTAGTAGTCATTGAATATAAGTTTGTGTATGCTGGGATTAAAGTGTCACAGACACTTATGAAATGTAAAATAAAACCAAACAAACAACTATATTTTTAGAGTGGGGTACTATACAATACAGTAGACTGTTATATTACATAGATTTATTTGCCACATTTTGGTTATTATACTATTGAAAAATTGCGGCATATTTTTATACACTTCGTAAAATTAACCTAACACAGTTCTGTTTGTGGACGGGGAAAAAATTTGGAGAGTTCCCTGTGGGATATTTCGCCAGCTCAGGCCGCTGCCTGACTGTGGGTCGGACCATTGTCTCTGGGTGGGGGAGATCTACAGCCATCCCGGACACTCCGGCCAACCTCATCCTGGCCTTCATGCATATGCTTTTAGTATGATTCTCTCCTAGGAGTTACCTGTGTCTGTGAATTGTGTTTTGATCTTTCAATTGCCGTATCTTGTCTCTACCAAGCAGTCATGGCACCCATTAGGCATGCGAGTGTTACTGAAAGTGGCAAGATATTGGACAAGCTTAAGAGTGGCTAACGTTTGATGGATATAGTGAGAGTCTATGGCATTAATGAAGTGTCACTCTGTGTAATTAAAAAGAATGAGGTAAATATATGCATTTATGTAATGAATTACTCAGGATGTCATCTCACTCACTGACTTTATTGACTGACTGACTAACTTACTGACTTGCCTCTTACTGACTGACTTACGTGACTATCTTACCTCAAACATCCACCTCAGCCCAGTAGGGCCACAGCATAACTTTCCATTTTCTTCACAATCATCAACAAATACCAGCAACCACAATTTAAGGTAAGCAATATTATTATTTCTGTTGCATTTGTAGTCTTAAGCATAACATAATTCATGACAATGAACAACAATTATGTATTCACTTTTATTTTTGTAAGATCTAGAGGTCTAAAAAAAAAAAAAAAGTTGTTTGGCTTTTTTGGGGCTCCCAGGAACGTAACCCTATTTTTCCCATAAATTCTTCAGTTATTTAACACGGAGTTTCCTAACACGGGTTTTTCAGGAATGTAACTACTGTGTAATGTAATGTCTGCTGTACATAAGTAATTATACAGTATACAATTATGTTAATTGACATGTATAAACTACTTTATAGAAAACCCCTTGTTATCCAAGGCATTTTGGGCAACGTTAAAACAAACTTACAATTACTAGACAGTGAGACACATTGCACATAAGAATGAAAAATGCTTAGTGCATTTTATTTTGAAGGTATTCAGTGATTCAATAAAAAATCTAATCAAAGATACATTAAGGACGAAGTTAGGTGCCTGAATTGAAACCAAAATGCCTAGTAATAAATGAAAATTGAAGGAAGGATAGAACAAGAACAGCAACAATATTGGATGAAGGACAGGGTCTCGGGATTTATTCAGCATAATATAATTGTATTAAAACTAAGATAAATGAGAGAGAGAGTAACTAGAGGTGTGGATGCCTTCCTCTCAGTCATCTTGTGAGGTGCATAATAGTATTACAGTGTTACGTAATGGTTTCAGAAAATGGGCCTCAATTTGATAGTAACTTGCCAAGTTACAGTGGTATAGAATTATTTGCAAGTTTATGATCTGGGTAGAGTTGTAATTAGTTGTTTATAAAGACATGAAATGGGTCACTAACATTACAGTGTAATTTATATGTGATTATGAATCAATTTTTTAGCAAGGTATAGGTGAATTTAGACAAGTTAGAGTGGTTATGAGTTACAGTAGGCAGAGTCAGAATAATTTTCAAGAATGGGTGGTAATATTTTTTTTTTTTTAATTTTTGAGCGACTTGTTTCTAAATTCACTTATTTTCTGGGAGTAGAAAGACTCTGAGCTCATAAAGGTTTATTAAAGGTATTAACCCTTTCAGGGTCCAAACCGTAGTTCTATGACATGAGCTCAGCTCACTCAGATAAGCTGTGAGCGGTAAATTATGGCCTGGATGTGAGAGAATACATCTATGTGGTATGTGTGCACCACATAAAACAAATCCTGCAGCGCACAGTGCATAATGAGAGAAAAAAACTTAGACTGTAATTTTGGATTAAAACGGCGACTTTGCAGTGTTTTTTCATGTGTGTTTTATAGTTGTATTTGCAATTTCTTGATCTCATTTGATAGAATGGAAGATATATTACAGAAATACAGATGACTTTTATTGGTTTTAGTACTGAAAATGGTGTGAAACTGAGCTCAAAATAGCAGAAATGTTAAATTTTTTGCCGATGATCAAGAGTAAACAGATCACGTCACTCGTCCAATACACATCAGCTGATGGGTCTTATGTGCATTCACAAATGCACGGATATTATTTATACAATTATTACAATATAGCATAACAGTAAATCTTCCATTTTTTATTTGCATAAAAATTCATTATTTTAATAAAATATCAAAGTGGAATTCATTTGTAAAGCCTGAAAATGTAACTAATGAACAGAGAAAATGTTAGTTTAGTGTCAGGAATGCCTGCATTGTTTATGCTGGACCCTATTTTGAAATAGGAATATTTTGAACTTTGTGATAAACTGGCCAAATTACTAATTTCTGATCACTTTATTGGGTAGTTGAAACAGTTGACTTTGTGATTTCTTGTGCTCAATCGATAAAATAGAAGTAATACTAGCGAAATGACTAAGAATTTGGTCGACTGGAATAATGTAATTGGCCTAAAATGGGAGTCAAAATTGACAAAATCGCTGATGCGTAAATATCGCTGATGCATCAAAATTCTCGAGAGCACAATTTCTTCAGTTTTCCATCAAATTTCGTACTTTTTTGTTTTATTACCTTCAGAAAAAGATTCTCTACCATTTCACAAGAAATTTTTTTTTTTTTTTTTTTTTTTTTTTTTTTTTTTTAAATTCTTGGACCCTGTGGACATGTCTTCAGAGTATGTATAAAATATAAAATAACTTTTAAAAACACTTGAAATTTTGGAGTTTCCAGACATAATGGAGAGACTCAGTCCAGGTGGGGCACAGTGACCGTATTAGAAAGTCAGGTGGGGGGAGCCGTATAGAGAGCTTTGGTCATAATTTGAAATGACCATATTAGCGGAACACCGTAAAGTGAAACTCCATAAAGAGGGGCCCTACTGTACTAGTATTACAAAGTATTATAGAATACAAAATTATGATAATAGTGAGCAAAAAATATATTACTAAAGATGCAATAATTAAATTTATTTTAGCGCAGGAATATTCTAACATAAAGAAATATGTTTTTGAGTGGAAGTTAAACAAATATTAAAATCTAAGTACAGGAATAATATAACAAAACAAAGATAATATAAAATTATGGAAAAAAAATATATATATCAATCATATTTATATAAAAAAAATTACATTGTTGATCTGTGTCTTGGCTTCAATATAACTTTTACCAGTTGTGAATCTTTCACTGTAACAGTTGTAATATCAGACCACTTCCCATGATTAACTGCAAGCAGTACTGGTAACACCAGCTGTGAGTCTTTCACTGTAACAGTTGTACTATCAGACCACTTCCCAAGATTATCCACGGTACAGGTGTGGTTTTAGAACTCACTCACCGTGGGTTCAAACTCCGCCCGTACCATGGTTGTTGAGAAATGGTTTACCAGCTAAGTTTCCCTATATTTAAACTTTAAACTTAGATGGTAAACCATTTCTCAACAACCATGGTACGTGCGGAGTTTGAACCCATGGTGAGTGAGTTCTAAAACCACACCTGTACTGTGGATAATCTTGGGAAGTGGTCTGATATTACAACTGTTACAGTGAAAGACTCACAGCTGGTGTTACCAGTACTAGATTGCAGTTAATCATGGGAAAGTGGTCTGATTTACAACTGTTACAGTGAAAGACTCACAGCTGGTGTTACCAGTACTGCTTGCAGTTAATCATGGGAAGTGGTCTGATAGTACAACTGTTACAGTGAAAGATTCACAACTGGTAAAAGTTATATTGAAGCCAAGACACAGATCAACAATGTAATTTTTTTTATATAAATATGATTGATATATATTTTTTTTCCATAATTTTATATTATCTTTGTGTTGTTATATTATTCCTGTACTTAGATTTTAATATCTGTTTAACTTCCACTCAAAAACATATTTCTTTATGTTAGAATATTCCTGCGCTAAAATAAATTTAATTATTGCATCTTTAGTAATATATTTTTGCTCACTATTATCATAATTTTGTATTCTATAATACTTTGTAATACTAGTACAGTAGGGCATATTTCATTCACTGATGGACTTAAGTACTGTGTGGGCTTAAAAATTCCGCACCTCACTGCCGACTATAGGTTGATCACAATATCCTTGCAACCCGAAACTGCGCATTCCCCGTACTACGAGAAATTGTAACTACCTTGCTCTTGTAGTGTGAGCTATGGTGTTCTTCACACCTTCAATAATGTATCGGTGACTTGATTAAAGCTGAAGTGCCTTGGATGTCCACGTCTTCCATAGTCTAGGAATACGCACACTGGTGTACTATGTTCCACAAGATTTGTCTTTATTGTTCACAATCTTATCACTAACGAATCTGATCACACTTCTCTGTTAGTGTTTATTGTGTTTTGCGAGACACTTTGTTCACACTAACGCACGGATCAATGTTCTTTGTTGGTTATCCTGGCGTCAGTGTGACTCTCAGTAGAGTCAAAAGTAATCTGAAGACACCACAACCTCCTACGTCACTGCCCCTAGCACATAAAGGAAAAGCTGACCTAGTACTTTTGCTTCCTTGCCACTTCCTCCATGAAGCAAAGCAGAATGTTTGATTCTTGCTGTCTTAAGCATAGACAACAATGTACACTATCTTTACCATGGTAATAAAGTGGGAGCAGGATTTTCCTTAATTGTCCTGCCAAGGTAAGAGATGGACTGTCTCTTATTAAACTACAATTTGCAACACTGGAGTCTTGCACGGAGCCTCGGTCGCTTGACCACGTCGCATACTCGTACTGCATCTGGGATCAATTACTTGCTGTAGCAGTAAACAAGATGCTTGCCCCTTCTGAGAGGGCTGGGCCCCTCAGGGCTGAAAGGGGCTGAAGGGGGCTGATACCCCCCTCCTGGAGAAAATTTCTCCACACTGGGGGCCAGCGGAGGTTCGCTGCAGGTGAACTATTCATCACTTGACATTAATTTGATTTTCTCACTCACCACCACTGTTGTCATTTTTCTGAACAGCTTTAGTCTGTGTGGTTTCTGGAGAATCACTAATTTTATTTTCAACACTGTATAATTCTAACGGCACTAGTTTATTTATTGTCCGCTTATTCACTACACCTTTGCTTAAAACATCAACTGTCCTGATGATTCCATTTGCATCAGGATATGTAGTCACAATTTTTCCAAGTGGCCATTGGGACCTCGGACCATCATTGTCAATAATCACTATGTCACCAGTTCTTAACCCTTTGAGGGTCGACAGGCCCTCTCCGAGACTCGTTCTCAGGGTCGGCCAAATTTAAAAAAAAAAAAAAAAAATTCTTATGAAAAGGTAGAGAATCTTTTCCCGATCATAATGACACCAAAAATATGAAATTTGATGGAAAACTTATGGAATTATGCTCTCGCGAAGTTAGCGGTCTCGGCGATGTTTACGGATCGGCAATTTTGCCCACTTTGAGCCCCATTTTCGGCCAGTTCCCCTGTACTAGTCGACAAAAAACATGAATATTTCACTAGAACTCCATTTTTTCTATTGAATGAGTGCAAGAAACCACCCATTTACCAATTTCAACTATCCAGTACAGTGGTCAGAATTTAGCAATTTTGCCAATTTCACACAAATTTCAAAAGATGCCAATTTCCGAATAGGGTCCAGAACAAACAAGAAATACATTCCTGGCATTAAAATGACATTTCCTCTGTTCATTAGTCACGTCTCGAGGCCCCTCTTACATTCTTTTGCTTTCCACTTTGAATTTTTATTCTCACAAAAAATATAAGATTTACTGTTATGCAGACTACTGCATTAATGTAAAAAATGGTATGAATCATATTGGCGCACTTGCAAAAGAATATTAGACTCACCAGTTGACGTGTATTGGACGCTTGGCATGATTTGTTTACTTTTGAACTTTGGTAAAAATCAAACATTTCTGCTACTTTGAGCTCAATTTCAAGGTATTTTTCATTGTAAAACCAGCCAAAATCATTTCAATTTCTATGATATGCCTTCCATTCTATAAAATGAAACCAAGAAAACTAGAATACAACAATAAATACCATACGAAAATACAGTGCAAATTCGCTGTTTTATTCCAAAAAAACGGTAAGTTTTTTTTTTCTATGCACGTGTCTGCAGATTTTTTAACATGCCATGACCACAAGACCATCTTCAATGAGGCTACAGCTTCTCCATAGATTTGTGCGTGAATTTAGGCGTACTAGTACGTCAAAAACCGTGGGTCTAACCCTCAAAGGGTAGGACTATGATTTTCAGACCAGCCCATAGAGTGTTCTCTCAATGAGGTGAGTTCTACTCGCCAAATTTTTCCAACGTTCATCACTTTATTAAGTGTTTGAATTACGTCTGAGTTGCTCAGGTTCAAAGTAAGTAGGATCCTTTATGATTTCTTTATCATTCGTGGAAGGAACAGGTTCAAGCCTTCTGCCATGGAGTAAATGAGATGGACTTTACACTTCTAAATTGTCCAGATCATCGGTAACATAAGTTAGAGGTCTGTTGTTGACTCTATTTTCTATTTCAGTCACAACTGTACGGAATTCTTCTAAGTCTATTCTCTGACGATGAAGAGTCTTCCTTAAACGACGTTTTACAATGCCGATCATTCTTTCATAAAATCCGCCGTGCCATGGAGATTTAGGAGGAATGTATCTCCAACGACAGCTGCGTTGATTCAGCATCTGTTGTACTTCTGGTTGATCAAAGATCTTGCTTATATAAGCAGCACCAGCAACAAAGTTCGTTACATTATCTGAAATCATCAGTCTGGGACATGCCTTCTGGCTGCAAACCTTCTGAATAATTTGATAAAGGTTTCAGCAGACATGTCAGTGGCTACTTCTAGATGTACTGCTCTAGTCGTAGCACAAGTGAACAAACAGATGTACACCTTGATGGGAACTTCGTCAACTGTTTTGGTTAAAATTATTGGTCCAGTGTAATCTACACCTGTCACCTCAAATGGAGTGATATGACAAACTCTTTCAGAGGGATATGGAGGTGGACCTGGATACTGACATACTTGCATATCGTAGTGACGGCAGGTAATACAGTCCCTTATTTGTTTTTTCACAATTTGTCGACCTTGAGGTATCCAGTAGAATTGTCGTATATGACAAAGTGTGTCAGCTACCCCACCATGTAACACGTTACTGTGGGTGTTTTGCACAATCAGTTTTGTTAGCCAATGATTCTTGGGGATCAATACTGGATGTATGGCTTCTTTAGGTAGTGAAGAATTATGAATTCTTCCTCGACATCTTATAATCTTTTCTGAGTCGAGATAAAGTCCTAAAGAATTAATCATGACAGGTTTCTTTGGGGATTTATCTTGTGTTTCCAGAAATTTATATTCTGTAGAGAAAACAGCTTTCTGTATTAGTTTCACCCAGTATTTAATGGGTTCAAGACATTCATAATCAGGTTTTATTCCTTTAATGAATTTAAAGACAAGAGCTGTAACTCTTAAGAGTTTACCTGAAGATGAGTATTTATATCCATCAATGACTGTTTCTGTTGTCTGCATATTTACACAACTTATTTCTGCTGTG